TCACGTTTTGTTTTATTATTTCTTTATTTCATTATTTGTTTACTTTATTATTTATTTTTTTTATTATGTATTAATTTTACTGCTTATTTATTTTGATATTTATTTATTTATTTTATTTTTATTCATTTCACTATTTAATCATTTTACTATTTATTTATTTTAATATTTTTCTATTTTATTATTTACTTTATTTATTGTAATAATTATTTATTTATTTATGTTCCAAACGGATAAACATTTAAACAACATATTATTTTTATTTCTTTCATTATAGACGAAGATGAACTTTCTTTGCATATAATCGTGAAACATTTTTTTATCGCAATTACTTTACAGGGGAAGTACTTGTTTCACTAGATTCACAAAAAAAGGGCGTGTATCTGTTGCGTGTATTTAACGTTACTTGTTTTCTAAAACCGGGTTTTCAAAACAATCGTTCAAGGACCGTTAAGCTTTCATTCAAACCAGATATTACATGACAGTAATTGGTGTCATGAGTTTAATTAGTAAACGTTTTCTAATTATTGTTTTTTTCTTCCTTTTTCGATTTTTCTTTATTTTTGTCATTTAAAGGACAGAAGAATTAGTGTGTTTTCATTTCATTAGATACTCTATATAACTATTCATATAACTTCTCGTTTTACTCTTGTCTTGTTCTTTCTACTTTATAGTAATGTAATCTTACGACTAAAAGCACTTTCGATCGTCTATCTCGTCTGGAGAAACCTCTCGAAACAAGATTCTGATCGACTTTGCTTTTCCTTTTATTTCTTCTTTTATTTTTTTAATTTTCTTTTTTTATAATTTATTAACGTTTTTTGTTGACAATGTTGTGATGAAATGGAAAATTTTTCTTAATAATATTTGAGTTTTTTTTGTTGTGTAAATTTCTAAAGAAAATTATTTTTTTGGTAACTTTACAATCATCATTTGCTGCATCTTTTTTCGTTCTTTTTTTGTTCTTTATGCATCCTTTTTTATTTGTTATTCTTGTTCTTTTTTTGATTTCTTTATATTTCTTGATTGTATTCTTATTCTACTTCAAATCCTTTTTCTTGTTCTACTTCTTTCTGATTCTCTTCTTGTCCCTCTTTTTGTTAATGTTTCCTGTACTTTTTTTTCGATCTTTTTTTGTTCTGTTCTTACTTTTCTTCTCCCAGTTATTCTTTCTTTGTTTTTCTTTTTGTTAATCTTTCTTGCTTTTGTTGCTCTTGTCCTTTTTTGGTTGCTTTTTTCTGTTCTTTTTCTTCTTTTATTCTTGTTGAAGTCGATAGTTTTGATTTTTTCAGTTGTTGTTCCTGTTCCCTTTTTGTCTTCTTTGTGTTCTTGTTCAGCTTCTTGTGTTTGTCCTTGTATTTTAATTTACTTCTTCTAGTTCTCTTCTTATTCTAGTTATTCTCTATCATGCGTTCGGCTTCTTTTGGATTCTGATCTTGTTCTCTTCGTTTATTTTTTGTCCTTCTTGTTTGTGTTCATGTTTTACTTCTTCTTTTTGTTCTCTTTATTCTTTTGGTCTTCTTCTTCTTGCTCTCCTTTTTTCTTGTTCTTCTTTTTTATTAATCTTAATTTTGTTTTACTTCAACTATTTGTTCTTCTCTTTTTCTTTCTGTTATTGTTCTACTTCTCATCTTTGTTTTTGTGTTTTTTTTGCTCTTCTTCTTCCAGTTTTGCTTTCTTATGTTCCTCTTCTTTTTCCCTTTTTGTTAATATTTTCTGTTCTTCTTCTTCTTCTTCTTCTTCTTCTTCTTCTTCTTCTTCTTCTTCTTCTTCTTCTTCTTCTTCTTCTTCTTCTTCTTCTTCTTCTTCTTCTTCTTCTTCTTCTTCTCTTCTTCTTCTTCTTCTTCTTCTTCTTCTTCTTCTTCTTCTTCTTCTTCTTCTTCTTCTCTTCTTCTTCTTCTTCTTTCTTCTTCTTAATTTTGTTTTTGTTATAGTTTTTCGTTCTTGTTGCTTTTCTGCTCCTTTATCTTTTTTTTGTGCTCTTAATTCGCATTCTTGTTTTTGTTTTACTTCACATTTTTGTCCATATTATTAGTTTGTTCCTTTCCTTCTACTTTTTTTTTTCATGCTCTTCTTCTTGTTCGTCTTTCTTGCTCTTGTTATTCTTCTTGTTCTTTTTTTCCAAGTTATTCTTAATCTTGTTCTACTTCAACTTCTTATTCTTCTTCATTTTTCTTCATATTTTTGTTCCACTTTTTGTTGATTTTTTATTCTTCTCATTATTCATTTTTATGCGTTCTAATCAATTCTTATAAATAAAGAAGCAGCAAATCTTGAATAAAATCTTGTTTAGAATATTTTTCTAATGCTCAAACAAGGGAGAAATTTAATGGTCAATAATGATTAAATTGAAGACTTAGAATATAGTAATTTTCCTCGTGAAACAACACCTGATAATCGTGTTGTGATGAACTATGTTACAAAGTAGCCTTGGGCGATTATCTTTCGTGGTCAGGGGTCCCGATCCCTTGGACCCTGAGAGGATCGAGATCACGAAAAGAGTGGCTAACTCTTTGGTTCGACCCAGTTGTTGCAAATAGGTGACTGGCCCAGTTTCCAACGGGGCTCCTTCACGTTCGCAAGGTGTATTTCGAAGGTGAGTATATAGCACTTCTACTTATTCAGCAGGCGGAATTCATCGCTTCTTCTCGAAAAAATAGTCGTAGCACTCTTCTAGTACTGCTACTATTACTACTAGTACTGCTCTTATCACTATTATTACTAATACTTTTTTCTTCTTCTACTACTTCTTCTTTTTATTTTTCTACTACTAGTACTTCAATCCTAATTTTTCTTTTTTATCTTTTTCTGCTTCTTTATTATGTATAAATCTTTAATCTGAATTATGATGAAGCTTTTCATCGTCGACACCATTTTCTGTTTCTAGTGCTACAACTAATATTTCTTCTCGTTCTTGTTTATTATGATGAAGCTTATTATCTATGATATAATCTTCTTTGCCACAAGAATTTCTTTTTATTATTTATTATGATGAAGCTTATCATTATTAACACCATATTTTTTTACTAATGCTACAACTACTGCTTCTCCTTATTCTTCTTTATTATCCTAAAGCATATTAATATTATCACCATCTTCTTCTATAACAACTATTACTACTACTGCTCCTAATTATTATTAATTCTTTAATCTTCTTCTTTATTATGATCACCATCTCCATTAACAATTTTTTTTGTTCTTTATTATTACACTCAAAAAAACAGTTGGCTGCCATATCCAATTAAATAGTTGCTGGAGCGCGATCCAATTAATTGGATGGGGCAACTATTTGTTGGTTGCTACATCCAACATTTTAGCTGCATTACCTCTGCGATAGTTGGGGTACCTTTTCGCATGGAAACAGTATTTAATAGTTGGATGTGCTAACCGATTTATTGGATCGCGCTCCAGCAACTATTTAATTGGATATGGCAGCCAACTCTTTTTCTGAGTGATGATAAAGCTTATCATTATTTCCACCATCTTCTTTGACTAATACTACAACTACTACTTCTCCTTATTCTTCTTTATGATGCTAAAGCATATCAATATTATCACCATCTTCCTCTAAAACAATTATTACTACTTCTGCTCCTAATTATTTTCTTCCTTAATCTTCTTCTTTATTATGATCACCATCTCCATTATCAATATCATCCACAAAATATTAATCATAATCATAAACATCATTTTCAGCATCACAAGTTCCGTTTGGCTCACAACATGTTCTTAATACTAATAATACTAATACTGATGATACTAATACTAAAACTTACTACTTAATAGTCTACTCTAAGTCATTGTTTCAAAACTTTTTTTACCTCCTTGTCATTTAGTTGTAAGGAGAAAATAATGAAAAGCGAGAGGATTGATAATGGATATGGAAGAAGGAAAGAAAGGAGAAGATTGATACAGAAGAACAACAAGAACAAGAAAAAAGAATTTTCAAAAAAGCACACCCAAAATTAAGAATTAATTCATAAATTGAAATCGACAAAAGGAAAATCCGATACCTCAAAAAACCGCTATATTCACAAGTACTTTCCATGACGCTATACCTTGGTAATGATCGGTTAGAATCCGTCGCGCCAATCGCTCTTGAAAATTGTACCAATCCAGAAACTTACTGCTGACGATATTAATTAACTTCTGTCGATTACGTTTCAACCTAGAAATCAACAAACTAACCTATAAATCGGTATTTTTCCTGTATCCTGCCATAACTGTACCTACGATTATACTTTTTTTTCATCGTCGCGAATATTGTATTATATCTTCTAAAAGCGGGGGAAAAAATCATTTACCTCACTAATGTTCCCTGTCATGTTAACTACATCCTGTATGTTACTTTTGTCAAAAAAAGTAACGTTCGTAAATTATTTACAAATTCTCTCAACATTATCTATTACTATATACCATTCACGTGTACCTTTTCTACCCATCACTTGGCCTTGAATTACAAACTCCAGATCTTCTCATTCCATTCTTTCAATTCATTCCCACATTATATGCAACAAAGTTTTGCCGTTGTCGACATTGCACCTGTCGGAAGTCTAAACAAATAATAAGTGGAGCCTGGAAGATATATTATCAACAGTGAAAATCCAGAAGTAGGTAATTGTGGGAATGATGATTTCTCGATTGACAATGGATCATCATAATCATCATCATCATCATCATGAGTCCACCACGGGGAGTTATCAATTTATAATGAATATGCGAAAGGTGTTGTGGAATATCTCGTCTTTACTGGATGGTCATCGTTCTTTGATGGTAATTTGCCCCCCTCTTGCTTCCCCCCAAAGCACGTTCCGTGGATTATTGATGGTTCCTTAAGTAGGTCTTGATGAAGTGAAGCGAGGATCAATTTTTTTTCTTTCGCTCTTTACCTCCTTCTTTCACTTTAGTTCATCCCCGCACATCTTTGTCCAAAAAATAAATTCCTTCATTAAATAAAAAAAAGACAAAAAAATAACAACAGGGGGGAAAAGAATGAAGAGAGGGATTTAAGGGGTCACGGGAAGGGAAAAGAAGGTGTCTGAAGTGGGGATATCTGCAAACTCCGCGGGACCTGTAACCATGCGAAATCCCCTCGTATTGGCTCTCCTGCTATAAAAGCAAAGCAAGGTCTTTTAGATGCAACACACAAGTCAACCGGTCGCATTTCATGTCCGTCGACGCATCCGAACGAGACACGATAAAACAATAACAATAATAATAATCAAAAAAAGGACTCGGAGAGTGAGAGTAAAAAAAAGGACAAACGGATTTCCGGTGAACCACGCGGGATTCACGTTTAACCGCGTGTTCTCTTCAAAATTTTCGTAGAATAAGAAAATAAATTTTTGTTTACTAAAAAAAAGAATTGAAAAGAGGAGAAAAAAAATTATTAAACATGTTTGATAGATTATCGGTTTTATTTATACTGGCGGTGGCTGCGACATCGGCACTTCCGGCCAGTGATAAAAAGCCTGCTGATAATGATCTTATGGCAGCAATATATTCGGATTGTTTAAAAAAGGATTCAATGAGTTGTATTAAATATAAAGTTTTTGCATTTGTTGATAAAATGCTAGCTGATAAGGAGGACATCACTCTCAGTGAGGGTATCACTGTTGTTAAAACCGGAAGCACCGAAGAGGGCGCTCCAAGGTCAGTGACTTTCATATTCCTTCCAAAAATAAATAAATAAAATTTTGGAAAAATCGTATTTCACTTTTTAGTTTTTTTAATTAAAAAAGAAATTACAATAAAAAGGTTAATTACAAAAAAAGAAGAGTACTCAAAATAGAAAAATTATTTTAGAAAAAAATTTACTTAAATAGTTCTTACAATATTCACTTTATTTATTTATTATAACAAACTATTATGTTGGTCACCTTTTAATTTTTGTAAATACTTGAATATTAATTATTATATAATAAAAGTGTTTAAAAAATGATGATTTATTATTAGAATTATTTATCGTGTTTCGGTATAAAAATGTCTTTCTGACTTTCTTTGTTATAAAAAAATGATGAAAAATATTATAAAAAAATGATAAAGGAATAAAAAATCAAAATAATAAATAAATGAACAAATAAACGGATAAAAAAATTAACGAATAAACAAATACGCAAATAAACAAAAAATAAAGAAGCAAAATAAACAAAGAAATAAACAAATAAACATGAAACAAACAATAAAATAAAGAAATTTAAACAAATAAATGAAAGAATAAATAAACGATCAACTAAACAAAAACCAAAAAAAGACAAACAAAGAAATAAATAAGTAGAAATAAAAATTTTCAATGTGAACAAAAATAACAATAAATAAACAAACATACACATAGACAAACTAATAAACGAACAAATGGATAAACATAACAATAGATAAATGAAAAAACAAATAGAATTACCAATAAACAAATAAACAAACAAATTAAACAAAGAAATCAACAAATAAACTTGAAACAAACAATGAAATAAATAAATAAATTAAAGAATAATTAAACAAACAAATGCATAAACATAACAATAGATAAATGAACAAATGAATAAACAAACATTATAAATAAACAAATAAATAGGTAACCTAACAAATAATCAAACAATAAACATATATAGAAAAACTAGTAAACAAAAAATAAGTAAATAAATAAATTAATTAACAAACAAATATACAAAAAAATAAACAAATTAGTAAACAACCAAATAAATAAATGTATATGGATAATAATATTTATTATTATTAGTATAAACAAACATAATAGTAATAAACAAATAGAGAAACTAATAATTGCATTTAATAATAATTAATATTTATTGTGAGTCTTATCTTTTTATGTAATTACTAATCAACATACTATATGATTTAATCCTTACTATTATATTTAATTAATTTTGTAATTTACTAACTTAATCATTCAAAAATTAAACAAAACGAAATTTTAGTAAACAACGTGAATTATTTAATTAATTTCGTTATTTTAATTGTGACCTAAACTAACAAATTATCATGAGATGAACTGCAAGGTAATTAATTTAATAAATTATGTTTTTTAAATAAAGCAATTAAATTAAAATTAAATAGTTTTTAATTAAAATTTTAAATGTTTCTCAACTTTTTAGATCAATTGAAAATACGGATGTTGACACTCTATTATTTGATCGTTTGGGAAGATTTCTGAGGACACATTCGGTAAAAGTTGATCTCAAAGGTAGCGATATTTTGGGTGCCATTGAGTCAGCAGGACGAAGCCTCGAGGACATCACTGACGATGCCAATGAGGAAGGTCGAGGCAAAAAGAGTAAGTGAACTTGAAAATAACAATTTTATTTGAAAACTTTTATTTATTCAACACTACTTAATTATAAACGAAATTATTTCGTTGCAAATATTTTTTTTGGGAAATTTTTTGTTTGTGACAAATTGGACGAAAAGTTGTGTTAACTAAGTGAACAAAATAAAAATAAATAGAAGTAAATAAATAATGCAAAAATGAATAAAATAAAAAGAAATATATAAAGTACAAGATACATGTAAATTAAAGAAGTTTATATGAAATGAAAAGTAACTAAAGAAAATGAAAAGAAAAAAATAATAAGAAAAGAAATAAACAAACATAAATTTTTTTGGCATTTAAAATTACGAAATAATTTGATTTTTAATTAAATTCTTAAGCCAAATGGATAGAGAAATTAAATAATTAAACTAACTCAATATAAGCTAATAACATAAATCTTAATAAGCTAAATCAAAATTAAAAATTTTGAAATAAATTTAAATATTTTGTAGTAAAATAAAAGTGTTTATAAATGATAATTTAAATAGTTTACAAATTGATAATTTAAATAGTTAATAATTCATAATTTAATTAGTTATAAATAAAATTGATCAAATTAATTTAAATAAATTAAATAAATTTTTAATTAGTTTCCAATTTAAAATTTTAAACACTTTTCATTTAATTGACCTAACAAAAAAAATTAAATAATGAAAAAAATACTATTACATAAAAGACATTAGAACCCTTTTTTCAAAGCAGAAGAAATCCCCCCTTTAAAAATAATTATACACCATGTAATAGAAAAGCTTCCTAGGATTCATAAATACACCTATATGTATGTGAAAAAGTAAAAGTGTCTTAAATGACTGTTTCACGTGATTATACTATAACATAATATAATTTCCAGTCTGGTTATTCTTGTTTTATCCCATATACATAGTGTATGGGCTCTCTCGAGACACACAAGTGTTAATTTCAAGCCATGTTCAGTGAATGAACGTGAAATTAATTATTTGTAATCAATCTGTTCCATTCATTTCATCAAAAAGTTTATTTCAATATTTATATATGTAATGTAAACAAATTAACACTTCGCACAAACTTAATCATTTCACTGTAATAATTAATAATTCATGTGGATATATAAAAAATAAAGAAAAGAAAAAACACATACACACACTAATCTAATTATTCGACTAGTTATGTAAAATAGTAAATTTATTTTTATTTATTTTCAATTTATTTTCCATAATTATTATTTCTATAGCAAAATAAATATACACGTGTAAATAGTGTTGTGGAAAATAACAATTTTTTTATCTTGTTTATTTTTTTTTATATTCACAAGTTGAACGACATAACCGGTATTTACAAATGTAACGTTATTAATCGTTAATATTTACGAATTCTTCTTCATTTACTAAATTTTATTTTTCTTCATCTTCTTTTTTGCATTTGAATTTTTCTTTTATAAAAAAGAAGTAATTTTTTGTTCTTATTTTGAAGGCAAATAATTGTTATTCTTTCTTTAAAATGAGAAAAAACTTTACTCTTTCTTTAAAACAAAAATGCCTTTATTCTTTCTTCAAAAGTATAGAATTTTTATTCTTTTTTCCAAATGAGAGTCTTTTCTTTAAAAAGAAAAAGTTTTCCGTATTTCTTGAAAAGCAGAGAATCTTCATTTTTATTAAAAAAAAAAAAATTAATCTTCATTGTTTCTTTAAAAAGAAAAAATCTCCATTTATTTTTTAAAACAAAAATAAACAAAAAAGACAATAAGAAAAAAAATATGCAAAAAAATGCAGAAATATTATAAATAAGGATTACACATAAAGAAATTAAATTTAAAATAATAAAAAAACTATAAAAACAAAAAACCAAAAAGTATAATTATATAGAAACAGAAATAATACATTTAAAGAAAAAATAAAGAAGCACAAAAAATGAAGAAATGAAGAAGCGATAATAAATTATAAAAGAGGCTAAAAATTAAAGAAATAGAAAAATAAGAATGAAATTGAAGCGGAAGAAAACAAAGAAAAAATAGATAGAGACGAAATAAAACTAAAAAAAATAATTGATCGCAAAAAGAAATAAATAAGAAGCTTATACCTATTAGTAAAAAAGCATATTTGTAGAAATGGAATAGAATAAAAAAGAAGAAGAAAATAGAAACGAAAAGAATTGAAAAAAGAAGTATATTGAATCGAATGAAAAAGTAGAAAATGTTTATGGAAGTGAAAGAAAAAAAGATAATTTATATTGAAGGGAGAGAAAATAAAAAAAGAAAATTTATACAGGAGGGAAAAAAAATATAAAACGAAAAATATAAAAGCGAAATAATAATAAAAATAGAAAGATTATACAAATTCTAAAAAAAGTAAAAAACAAGAAGCCTAAAGAAGCAGAAAACCAAGAAAAGAAGAAACATATAATTATGTAGAAGTAGCGATAAAAAAACAAAAAGGAAACAAACGAAGAAAAAGCATAAAAAGAAAGTAAATAAAAAAAGAAGAAATAAAAGAACATAAAAAAACAAAAAGAAGGAGAATCAGAAAGATAACAAAAAATAAACTTTAGAGAAAGAAGAAGGAAATAAGAAAGAAGAAACACAAGAAAGGAAATTGTCAAGTAGAAACAAATTCAACAGGAAACAGATATTAAGGAAACATATCTCTTCAGATATGAAAATACACGCCAAAAATCACATATATTTAGCGATTATAATTCCGTTATTATAATAAAAATTTCAAGAAAAACCTGTAGATCTGATCAATTATAACGGCATCTATTGGACCAAGTCCAACTGGAATATTGTGCGCTAGTGCAAATTGTCAAGTGACAGACAAACATGGTCAACAAACACAATTACATAAAGAAATTAAGGTCAAAGTCCATCCAATGAATTAAAGAGTGGCCCACTTATTGCATTCCTTTTATGTTGATTTCACGGAATTGCCCGAGGAATCGTTTTACATTTATATGTATATATATAAACATACAAAAAACACATATATATATAAAATTATGCTTATTTATTTTATTGCAGAACTTAATACACGACTTTAAATGCGCATTGTTTTCAAATAATATTTGCAATTGCTTATAAATTGATTTCCAAATAAATTTTATATTTGCCGACGATAAATTGTTTACCTAGACAAATTTACAAATTTCATTTTTTGCATTTTACAATTTCTATATTATTATATTTATTGTATATTATGTTTATACATTAATTTTTTTTGTATTTGATTTATGTTCTTCATTTTTATATTTACATTTTTTCTATTTTGTGGGAAAATTTAATTTTTCAAATCTTTTATAAAATAAATCATCAAATTTCGTTTAAAAATTTACAGAGGGCAGTTTATTTCAATTTTTGGGTTTTATTCTCTCAGTTTTAATCTTATTTCAGCCTTTCTCTATTATCTACATTACATATCTAGTCATTTTCTTTCATATTTCATTGATTTTCTACGGTGGCCAAACCATCAACGCCTAACCCAACCGAAACGACTTTTTTTAAATGCCTATAACTTATACACTTATGATCCAATAATTTTACAATGTATAGAAAAAACATTGCATTTTAGACGATCTTTCCAGACATACGCGAGAAAACGCGAAATTCGAAATACAACGGAAGTTACGGGCAAAAGTCAAAATTTGACCCAACCATGAACACTCTCCCCTAGTAATAATTATTATTTTAATCATTTTTTAATTCATTTCTTCCCTTTTTCCTTCCTTTTTCTCTATTTTTATTCATTTTCCCTTTCGCCTTTTTCTCTTTTTCCTTCATCTTTCTACTTTTTTATTCATTTTCTATTTCTTCTTCTATTTTCTTCTCCTTCTATTTGTCCTTCTTCTTTCTCTTTTTTGTTCACTTTCTCTTTTGTCTTCTTCTTTCTCTGCTTTGAATCATTGTCTTTTTCTTCTTCTTTTTTGCTTTAGTTTCACTATTTTCTTATTCACTTCTTCTTTCGTCTTCTTCTTTTTCTCTTCTTCTAATTTTTATTACTTTGCATTTCTTGAAAGGACATTTCAGTATTAATATTTCTTCACCAAATTGAATAAATAAACCTAAAGAAAAAAATACAAATAAAATTGAGATTAAGAAAAAGCTAATGATAAATAAAATACAAAGGATGAAGCTACTAAAAAGGGGAATAAAAAGAAAATAAAAAAGTAAAAAGAAGAAGCTACTCGAAAAGGAACATAAAAATACAAAAAAATAAAGCAAAAAATAAGGAAGTAAACCGAAAAAGAAGAAATTCAAATAGAAAAGGAAGATAAAGTATCTATTTTATGATCTATTGTGACCATATATAAATCTATTTAGTACTTTTGTACAAAAGGGTTTCTTTTAAACCCGTGTAAGATTGAAATAAATAAATAAAAATAAAAAAAATAAAGAAATGTATCTTCTAAAAAGGAAAATGAATTAATAATATTATAATTATAACAATAATAATTTTACTATTAACAATGATAATAATAGTAATTAATAATAATTATAAAAATAATAATATAGAGATATAATAAAAAGTATTATTATTTATTATTATAATAATAATTATTAGCGCAATAATTATAATAGTAATAATAATCACTATTTATAATGATAATTATAATTATAATTATTATTATTAGTGCAATAATTATAATTGTAATAATAATAATTATTTATAAGAATGACATTATAATATTATATATTTATATTTTATATAAATAATAGAAAATAGAAATAAAAAATGTGTGAAATACCACACATACATTCACGATTCATGACATTCGTGTGGTCGGGATGAATAGCGCAGCTTGAACAGAGACGCAATGAAGACGTTCTCACTCTTGCAGACGTTGACCCACTGAAGAAACTGGTTCCGCTTCCCCTTGAACTTCTCGTACGAGAAATAATACATGATCATCATATATATGTATATATAAGAGTGCGCGAGAGAAAATGATGATACAAGTGAGATAGAAATTTTGTGAGAATGAGAAGATGGATAAGATAAAAAAGTGAAAGAGAGAAAGAGAGAGAGAGAGAGAGAGAGAGATGATCAGAATATGAGTTGATGGGAAGCTGAGAAAGACGCGCTGGTGGTAGAAAAAAAAGCGACAAAACTATCTGATCATGCGGGATTTTTGACATACTTTCCATCATCATGGTTGGCGAGGGTACACTTTGCTTTGACCTTCGCCTATTCCACTTTAGAATTTATATATATTTGAGATTAATAGCATCGAGAATATTATAGCAGAAGGAGAGGAATTCACCACTAATCGATTACATTCGTAAAATATACTTTGTTGTTTCCATTGCACTATTTTTCCGCTCCATTGAACTTGCGATTTCTGCGCCATCTCGAACTCGATCTCATCTCTCAATTGAATTTGTAAAATGAATAACGAAAAAAATGGGAAATATAAATAAAAACAAGATTTGGAAATTGTAAAAATACTATTGCACATTCGTATCATTTCTATTTCTTTTTATTTCTTCTACTACTTATCTTTTTTCTTTTTCTCTTTCTTCTTCTTCGTCTTCTTTTTAATAATTTTTTAAATTTCTTCTCTTTTCCCTTTTTCTTCCTTTCTTTATTCATTTTCTCTTTCGCCTTCTTCTCTTTTTTCTTCTTCTTTCTCTTTTTTTATTCATTTACCCTTTCGTCTTCTTCTCTTTTTCTTCCTCCTTTCTCTTTTTTTATTCAATTTCTCTTTCTACTTTTTTTCTTTCTTCGTTTTTTTATTTATTTCCCCTTTCGTTTTCTTTTCTTTTTCCTTCTTTTTCTCTTTTCTCTCTTTTTTATTCAATTTCTCTTACTTCTTCCTTTTTTTATTTATTTTCCCTTTCGTCTTCTTCTCTTTTCTTTCTACTTTTCTTCATTTAAGAGCAAAGATAAGAAAGACAATATAGAAAAGATGAAGTTACTGGAAAAGAAGATAAAAATGAAAAGGATGAAGCTATTGAAAAGGAAGACAAAAAGAAAATAAAAAAAGTAAAAACATGTAGCTACTGAAAAAGAAGGTAGAAATAAAGTTAAAAAAAATAACAACGATATAGCTACTGAAAAGGAAGATAAGAATGAATAAAAAAGATTAAGCTACTAAAAAGGAAAATAAAGAAGACAATAATAATTTTTTCTACTAATACTAATAATAAAGATTAAAAATATTAAAACTAACAATAATAATAACGGTAATAGTAATTGAAAATCAGTTTTTTTCTAAGGATATCCAATTGAGACAAAAAACGAATCAAAATCTATTTTTTAATTATAAATAGTAATAATAACATCCAATGATAACAGCAGTATATCGTTATTATTTTTTAGTCTATCATTATTCTATTTTTCTTGTTTTCTTTTTTTTTTAATAAAAACCCGATTGTCATGCATCCCAGTTTTGATTCACTTACTTCTATGCGCAAATTGACCGGGCATATTGCGCATGGTTAACTTTCTGTGGCGAATTTATCATGCTTGAAATGTCTGTTGGGTCTATATTTTTAAATTTATATTGCAAAATAAATATATGGATTGCCATATATCAAAAAGTGCGTTATTTGAAAATATGTTTTTTACCCAAGAAAATAGATTTTGAATTGTAAAAATACATCATGTATATATTTATAAGAGCTCCAGTTAACAAACGATCTGAAACAATTTTGATGATTACGCGTTACGAAGAATAGAAATTAATAAATATTATAGGGTTAATCACGATAGTTGTGTAGTAAGTAATTATGTTAATATATATAATATTAGTTTATAATAGAAATTATTAGATAATTCGTGGTCAATGTTGGCTCAATGTTGTCAAATACTGTTACTAAAAAATAGAAGTTAAAAACCAATTGTATATTTTTCTATTTGAACAATCATTTTGTGAATTACAAATTGATGCAAATAGCAATTTTTTTTCTTATAATTCCCCTTGGCGCAAGAGTGGGTCAATCTTGGCAATGTCGTTTTATAGAGTTGACAAATCATCTGTAAATTATAATATTCCAACAGGAGAACAAATTTATAATCTTCTGCTATTAATTTATAAGAAGTAACATTAGAATTCTTAAAAATTGGTAGAAATAATTTAAAAATGGACCAAGTACCTTTGGCACTCTCATTGTTTTAAAAGTAGTTCAATCCTGGCAAACTTGTTAAAAAAATTTGTAAAATTTTACCAAAATCGTACTTATCTGGTGAAAATCATTTTTTTACATTATAAACTGACAAAAAGTGGATATAAATCTTGACATTTTTTTAACCAAAAATACATCTGGGGCAAAAGTGGCTCCAAGCTGGCAATACGTATTGAAAAATTTGTTAAATCTTACGCTAATTGTATTTTTCTAAAGTGTAAAAGCATTCACAATCTATTTTTCTTAATTCATAAGACTTTTAACTTAAAAATTGCCAAAAAAGGACAAAAGTTGTCAATTTTTGACTAAATTATAACCTTTTTTGCAAGAGTGACTCAATCCTGGCAATAGTGATAACAGATTTTATCAAATTTTATACGTTAATTGTATTTTTCAAAAGTGGAAAATTATTCATAACACAGGACCACAACATTTTTTTTAAAGAAAGTATTGACCGGACCATGTTTTTTATATATGTCTTATGGGTCGCTGAATTCGAATCCGAACTCAGTTTTGCGCCATCACGTCAAGTTTCTTCAAAATGACGGATCCAATATGGCTGGCGAATTTTTTAAAAATGTATCAGATTTACTTGAAATTTGTTACTCGGGGGTCCTTGGGGTCGCTGAATACGAATTTCACCTTAGTTTTTTAAAATTCAAAATGGCGGATCCAATATGGCTAACGAATTATTTAAAAATTTATCAGTTTTTGAATTTTTGAAAACTAAGGTGAAATTCGTATTCAGCGACTCCGAAAACTCCCGAGTATAACGTTTCAGGTAAATCCAATAATTTTTTTAAAAATTGGTCAGCCATATTGGATCCGCCATTTTGAATTTTTGAAAACTAAGGTGAAATTCGTATTTAGCAACCCCAAAAACCCCCGAGTAACAAGATTCAGGCGAATTGGGTGAATTTTTAAAAAATTGACGCCATATTGGATCCGCCGCCATCTTAAATTTTGAATATTTACGAGTTTCTTTGATTGTTTAACATTATATAATATTTTTTCAGTGTTTCAAAGTTGTTTATAATAGAATCTTCTGCTTATTTTTATTTAAATCTTGTTTACAGTCAGTTTTTTCGAATTTTATTAATTTGTGAAGAAACTTGACGTGATGGCGGAAAACTGAGTTCGGATTTGAATTCAGTGACCCAAAAAACATTGGAACTTGAGTGGTTCAATCCTGGCAATGTAATGTCCGAGATTGATAATTTGATAATTTTTACCCAAATTACCTTTGGTACAAAAGTGGCAAAATACTAATTAAAATTTGTTTAATTCTCATAACAGAAATAATTTTTTAATTCTAACTTGTTGAAAATGTCCAAAAATAAATAATTTTTTCATCCAAATTATCCTTGGCGAAAGAGTAGCTAAATCCTGGTAACGTTGTTTCCAAACTTCGCCACATCTTCACCTTAATATTTTCTTCATTACACGGCATTTTTCTTCACCAAGTAAAGTTTCTTTTTTAAATTGAAAATTATCAAAAATAGATAAATACAAAAATTGTTTTTTTTTTTTTTTTGCTTAAAATATTTTTTCTTTCGTGGGGTAAAATTGGCTTAATCTAGGCAACACTATTTCCAAGTTCGTTTCAATTTCCCACTTCTCGTTTTTCCTCTACCAGATATTTTATAATCTTATTTATACAATTAATTATTTGTAATATTTCTATACTTATAAATTATAAAAAGAAATATTATGCAAATAAGTAATAAATTTTCAAAATATATTAAAAAAAAATTCGAATTTTTCAGAGAAGGCGCAAAAAATATTGGGTCCAATAATGATGGCAGTGGCAATGAAGGCGGCGGCACTATTACCCCTGGCATTGGGTGCAATTGCCCTTATTGCCGGCAAAGCACTGCTAATTGGTAAAATTGCCCTAGTCATCTCGTCGATAATTGGATTGAAAAAATTATTGGCCTCCAAGGAGAAGCATGTGACGTATGAAGTGGTGGCGCATCCACATCACGGAGGTAGCAGTCACTTGAGTCACGACGACGGCGGTCACGGAGGATTCTCGAGTGGAGGTGGCGGTGGTGGTGGTGGTGGTGATTTTGGTGGCTATGGAAGTGGTGGTGCAAGCAGTGGTCATGGATGGGCAAGAAGTCTGCCCCAAGATGCCCACAATCTCGCCTACAGTGCTCATCAACCGGAGATCAAGGCCGAAACCACGAAATAGAAAGTTTTTTTTAATCATCTTCGTTTCATCTCTTCTCTTTTGATCTCTTTCCCTCGTGACCTTGTTCCTCCGGGTCCTGCTATATACCATTCCACCTGTTCCTCTTCAACTTTCTACGATCTTCAGCGGTACTTTCTATTCCTATCGTCCTCTCCTCAATTTCTCATGCGCTGACCTTTTTCTTCAATAATGTTTCTCCTTTCCTTATTTGCGACTCCTGCGACTCCTACCATGTTTAGTGATTTTTTCCTCGCAATTACCTTTTTCCCGTTTGACTATTATACTTCCTTGTAATCTTTTGTAATTTATTAGTTTCTTTCCTTTTTCATTCATTCCCTTTTGCGTTTTTTCTTTTTGTTTTCATTCTGTTTTTGTTATTATCTTTTGTTATCTTTTGTTTCTTTGTTTGTTCCTTTGTTTTCTGATATTTATTGTTTTTGTTTTTCATTGTTTTCGTTTTTTCTCTTTTTCTTTGAATTTTTATTATTTCGGTATTTTTTTGGCTAATTATTTGATTTTTGGTTTTTTCGGTTCCTTTTATCTTTTTTGTTATTTATTTTTTCCCTTTGATGCGACTTTAGTAGATTTCATATTATCTCTCATCTGATTGTTATTGTTGCATTCTTTTTTTTTGTTTCTTGTTTTTGCGTTTTTAAACCATTTTTACGATTTAGTATTTTTTATTTTGTTAATTCTTTTTTGCTTTCAAAATTTGTTATTGTTCATTTATTTCTAAAAATTGTGAATTCATTGTTTGCAAAATAGTGTTATATTTATTAGTTTTGTCTTGTTATTGCGATTTCTTGTTTTTAATTGTTTTTTTGCTTCCATTTTTCTTTTTATTTGTTTCTTCTTGTTGCCTTGCTCTGCTATAATATGTTTTCATTTCATTCTGATTAGTTCTTTTCGATTCTATTTGTATTTTTTCAACTTTTTTTGCTTTTATTTTATTCTTTCAGATTTTATTTGTTTATCTTTCCTTTTATTGTTTTTTACTTGTTTTTATTTGTCTTCAATTGTTTTTCAAATTTTCTTCTCTATTTTACATTTCTTTTTCAATTGCTTAATTTAAATTTACTTTCATTTGTTTCTTTTTTTATTTCTGAGGTTAAAATTGGATTCTATTCGTTTCAATTCTCTTCTTATTGTTTCATTACGTTTCAATTTGTTTCGCTGTTTTTATTTGTTGCAATTTGTCAATAATTGTTTAAATTTGCTTCCATTTGTTTCTATTTATTTTTATTTGTTGCAGTCTGTCAATATTTGTTTAAATTTGCTTTTAATTGTTTTTATTTGATTCTATTTGTTTTTATTTGTAGCAGTCTGGCAATATTTGTTTAAATTTGATTTTATTTGCTTCGAATCGTTTTTATCAATTGTAGTCTGTCAATATTTGTTTAAATTTGGTTATACCTGTTTCTATTTGTTTTTACTTGTTATTATTTATTGCAGTCTGTCAATATTTGTTTAAATTTGCTTCTATTTGTTTCTATTCGTTTCTTTTGTCTCTACTTGTTATTATCTGTTGCTGTCTGTCAATATTTGTTTAAATTTGCTTGTATTAGTTTCTATTTGTTTTTATGTTGCATTCTGTCAATATTTGTTTAAATTTGATATTATTTGTTTCTATTCCTTTTTTTGTCTCTACTTGTTATTATTTATTACAGTCAGTCAATATTTGTTTAAATTTGCTCCTATTCCTTTCGGCTTGTTTCTATTTTGTTGCAATTTGACTATATTCGTTTAAATTTGCTCCTATTAGTTACTTTTTGTATTTTTTACTTCGTTATCATAATTTGGTTCAACTATTTCCATTTGTAATTCGTTTCTAAATTGTTTCTGATTCTAGTCTATTCCAATTCTCTAAAAAAAAGTTCCCAATTTTGCTGAGAATGTAAAAGAACATTCTTATCAAAATTGAAACGAATCTTCATTTCTCTTTCCTCCCTCTCGTGATTTGGTTTCAAATTTGAAATTTCCTCACCATCCTTATTTTTTGTTGCTGTTAAGTTTTTTTCTATTTTTCTTTTTTGTTACTTGTTTTTCCCTTGTTTTTTTCGAAATATTTTTCGAATATTGTTACTTATTCCCTCTCTGTTATTTCTCTTCCATTTCCCTCTTCAATTTCAGCGTTTCCAACTTTATTTCTTTTCAAGTTTCATTTTTCCACAAATTTCCCTTGTTTTCTGGATGTTTCCTGCTCGTAGCGTTATCAGCTTAACGATCTCTGTTTAAGCTGTTGATCTCTCATCTCTCCCTTTCTCTCTCTCTCTCTCTCTTACTCTTCAACTTCTCTAACTTTGCCTGTCCCTTTCTCCAACTTGACTTCCTTCATCGTCGAGGGTCATGAGCCCTCGCCCTACTTCTCACTTGAAACCTACCTCTTTTTCTCATGATTGCCTGATATATTCCGTAAATAGTTGTGCTCCTCACTTATATCCTTTAAACGTATACATATATATAAATAAATATAGAATCGACTCGATAAGGAAGCCAGTACCCGCGAAAATACTCTTTTATAGACCATTTTTAGTTACTTTCTATTTTAAATTATTCTACTTTTACATTTATTATAAGAATTTAATTTAATAACGGATAATTATATATTTATTATATTTTGTTGTGTGCTCGTTATTATTTGTGTTTTGATGATTGTACTTTTTTTTTCTCTGACCAATGTTGTTCCTTTTTATCAAATAAAAATTGACGAACGGCGTGTACGTCTTGTCCCAAAGAAATATACCTGACTTTTATGTGTAATGAAATTAATTTTTTTTATTTTTATCAGGTGTATTAATCAGCATTGCATATTATTGCAGTGCTGTAATAATCCATTTGTGTTTTATTTATTCAACAACAAAAAAACCCATATGAAAAATTTTATTAGATAAGTTGACAAATTTTTTTTTCTAACTACAATTTGAAAAATTTATTTCATATTTTAAAATTTGCAAAAATTTATTTAGATTTTTAAGCCGTTAAATTTTTTATTTTTAAAAATACTCTTAAAAAGTATTATTCAATTTATCTTAATAAGCTCTACTGCAAAATGTTATTCTTATACAAAATATAAAAATTTATTAGTAAAAATTTTCTCTATTTAAAAGAAAACAAAGTAACTTTGACGATTCTAAAGTAGATGAAAGTTTAAGAACAAAATATTTTTTATATTTTGTTTAAAATAAAATACTTAGCTTTATTTGGAATAAATACTTTGTTCACTACTTGAAATAATAGGTCAAAGTTGCTTTGCACTACTTGAAATTGGTCAAAGTTACTTTACACTACTTGAAATTGGATAAAGTTAGTTTTCAGTACCAAAAATGGGACAAATTTACTTTGCCCTGCTGAAAATAGAACAAAATAACTTTCTTCTGCTTAAAATATAAATAAAAATTTAAAGTAGGGCAAAATAATTTTATTGCCTTTAAAATAGGTCAATAGGTTTGAGGTAGGTCACGTTACTTTGATCTACTTGAAATAGGCCAAAGTTACTTTGTCCCAATTAAAGTAGGGGAAAGTTACTTTTGATCTACTTTAATCAGACCAAAGTAATATTATCCTGTTTAAGTTAATTAACTTAAATAGGTCAAAGTTACTCTTGACCTACTTGAATGAGGCCAGAGTTACATTGACTTGTTTGAAGTAGGTCAAATTTACTTTTCTCTACTTGAAATGGGTAAAAGTTACTTTGTACCATTTATAGTAGCACTGGTAATAGTTTCTTTGATCTATTTGGAATAATACAAAGTTACTGAGTTATTTTTAAAAGAACCCCTTGAAATAGACCAGAGTTACTTTGCTCTACTTAAAAATTAGGCAAAAGTTACTTTATCCCAATTGAAATAGGGCAAAATTATTTCCTTCTATTTAAAGTAGGACAAAGTAACTTATTCCTGTTTAATAGGACAAAAGTTACTTTACTCTAATAGAAATAGAATAATGTTTCTTGTCATATTTTCAAAACAGCAAATTAATTTTGTTATCTGAAATAGAGCAAAAGTAATTGTGCTCTATTAAAAATAGAGAAAAGTAAAACAATGCAACTTTACCCTCTAAAATAGAATAAAGTAACTTTGTCCAATTTCAATTAGGTCAAAATTATTTTGTCCTATTTTAAACGGAACTGAGTAACTTTGACCTATTTCATCAAATAGTTCAAAGTAACTTTGACCTTTTTCGAAGGCTAGAAAACTTCTATTATTACTATTATTATTTATTATTATTATTATTATTATTATTATTATTATTATTATTATTATTATTATTATTATTATTATTATTATTATTATTATTATTATTATTATTTTTCTATTTATATAAATTTATTCTATTTTTTTCTTCTACTTCTACTTCCACTATTTCTTCTATTACTTACATTGATTGTATTTATTTAAAGAAACTATCAAAGGAATCAATTATTTACCTAAAATAAAGATAAGGTGGTTATAATTAATAACAATAATTAACTGTCACAATTAAACATAATTTCTATTGATTAATAATAGCAATTGAGTTAATTTTGAAATTAGCATTTGTGTAAACTACCAAGATGTGGCGCCATCTCATATTTTTATCTTCAAACCAGTTGACGGAGAAATATTGTCTGAAGATCTACTATTATCCTACAATCCTTTCGAATGAATTGCTATCATAAAGATTTAAACTCACTATTTTATTAAATTACTATTCACATTAAATTACAGTTAGAGGTGACTATTAGAATATTTATGTCGAATTACATTTCCTATAAATATGTACAATAAATAACATATTATTTAATTAAATAATGTAGAGATTATTATATTATAATATTGAAGAATTATTATTAATAAACTAGTATTAATAATAATTTATAATATTATTAATAATGACACAAGGTTATTTAAACTAAAGTATATGTATTTCAGTAGATAGTAATAATCATATTTATCATTATTAAGAAGATTCAATAATTCTGATTCGTTAAAATTGCAGATAAAATGTAGTAAACAATTTTGTTTAAAATCGCAAATAATTATTTAAATATATTTCTTTAATTTAACTATTATTATTTATTATTTTTTTTATTATATATTTTCTTATCCCAAATAGCACAAAATTTGAGCTTAATATTATATCAATTTTACACAGAAATTTTTCTAATACTGCCCGGCAATGTTGAGGCAATATTGAAGCAATGTTAACGCTATATTGTCAGGAAAAATTGACGTCAAGCATAATATTGACACAATATTGAGTTGAAATGTTGTGCTATTTAGAATATTTATATCCATTAATAAAAATATTCAACATTCCTTTACGGAAATATTTATGAATCACTTTTTACATTCCCGTTTCATTCATCAGGCTCACTCAGGCAGGAAAAAGACGAAATTTTCTTTAATAGTTTATTTGAACTGAAAAAAAGCAAAGAAA